TCTAATTGTATCTCTTGGCCCAGACAGGTACAGAGTATATTAAAGTTCCCAACACAAATGATGTTAGAAATGTAATAGTTGCATAAGCATAAGCCCTCCATGGATAATCACTTTCTCTCATTGCATTAAACTCGGCAATAAAAGTCGAAACCGTACTCAGACAACCGAGCAGCCCGAACTGGATACCCGATGCCACCGTGTCACAATTCTTAGTGTTAACCTATACGTAACAAATCGACTTGGTGTTAGGCTATATTTGGTAAACTTAACTGATAAACTAACTTATATCTTTTAAGTGAATTTCGAGTTTATAGTTGACAACTTATGATTTATGGCTGAAAAACTAGCTTATATGTTAAAAGTGTTTGGTAAAATTAGTTGATAAACTAACTGAATTAAAAGTTTTAATTGACTTATTTGAAAAAGCTACCCAAGGAAAAACTTATACGATAAGCTCGAGCTTTTTAAAAAAGCTCGTTCTATAAACCAAGTTTATTTAAATAGAGGAAGCTTATAAGCTAATCAAATAAGTTATAAGCTAGCTTATATACTTACCAAACACAACTTTAATGGCAACGAAAAAAAAAAAAAATACACGGCAAAAAACGGGCAATAAGTGAGATTTCTTACTGCTTTCTTGAGTGTTGCTAAAGCAGCCATCACACAAGCCGCGAGTACATTTGCAGCAAGAGTCCCGAACGGCATCCATTTTACCACACCTTTTTTACCCAATCCACGACCGTTAAAACGGGCCATGAACCACCTGGCCCACACGCCAAAAGGCCCAACTGTGCAAGCCAAAAACAGCTCGGGCCCATTACCACCCGATTCAAACTCTTTCCCTGCTAAGCTTCCGAACAAACCCCATAACAGAACCAACATCACCAAAAGCATCACCATAAATGTGACATTCGAAATATAGGAACTGTGGCAGCACGTTTTAGTGCCATAAAGTGATCTCATATCCGATTTTGTAAGAAGCCATTTGAATCCTTTTGCAGTCTCGATCCCGAAAATTATAGAATATGCGACTAGAAACAATCCTAGCAAGAAATATGGGGCAATAATAAATGATTTACATAAAAAAAAAAAAAAAAAAAAACAAAAAAAAAAAAAAATCGAAACAATCTCGAAAATTTTATTTAGTTTTCGATTATTACCTAATAAAATGCCGAGCAATGAAAATACCCACCGGCCCTCAATGCTGAGGTCGAGCATCTTTTGACTCCAAGCACTGAATGTTGTTAGACTCCCTAGAAAACCTGTTGTCAGCCCAATAGCTAATTGGTCCGAAATTTGTGAAATGTCCGGTTTAAAAACGACACCTAACCAACCCATCAGAAAAGAACCAACCTGAAAACGATATCGATATAATTAGTATAGTCAAACAAAATGGGATGTTGTGGGAGTTAAGTAGGTATAGAACTTATGTACATCACAACAAAACAAAGTCAACATGTCCGAATTCTATTTTTCTTTTTATTTCAAATTTACGTAATATCTAGAGACAGAGAGAGAGAACCATATTTGAAGGAAGATCGAGGTACATGTAACTATGGTCACTTGTTGCACCAACTAAATCGGGTCCAAAGAGCTTCTGAAGGCAATATCGAACTAGAACCTAGCATTCAATAACATTTAACGAAATTAATAAAAGAACGATAAAATATTTTCCAAATTCTCAAATCATAACGACAAACTCCAATGAAGAAAACCCAAAT